GGTTTCCCAACGTCAAGAAACTATCGTACTAAAGTGCCCTTATCCTAACTTACCTGAGGACCCAAAACAGAAAACGGGTCAGTATATCAATTTCCCAAGCCGGTATGTTTCTCTAGTACGACGATTTTTGGTCTTAGAGTATATGTCAAAATGCGACGTTCTATTAGGAGTTGTTCGATCCCCGACGGTCGCTGGGGTACTATTTCCTTCCCTCCGTGCTATCCCAAATCCTTATCCTCATCCTTTACAAGTGCTATATTGTCGTAATGGCTTAGCACCTTTCCCTGATAATTTTACGGGCTCACTATAGCCCGTGCTACACGGACACTTCGTTCTGAGTAGCTAAATCTAACACAACCTGATAATTACCTTGCCTGTCACACACAGGAGCCACAAATATCACCTTATGATGATATCATGAGAGAAACATCATTAGAAGACACTGTACACAGTCTGTCGCTATCAATTTTAAAAGCACTATAAAGCAGAATGTAGAAAAGTTCTTCATTGTTACGCTTGCTAAATAATTCATATTAATAACTTATAATACATGATCCTTCGTGTTCACCTTCGCCTTGCTAACCACATCCATACCCGACATTTTTCCTATATAAGTAGTATAGTTCTACCTTGACACGAAGCGCCATCTTCATAAACAGTTTTCTGCTATATTGGTGTTTTTCCCTGCATTTACTTGCATTTGTTTTTATTCATATAACTGTTATTATTGCCACTGAAGGCGCTAGTGTCGGCTTTGTCATCATAATTATCACGCGGAAACAAACAAGTTTTACTTTTAAACAACACTTCACTAACACATTAAGAGAATTAAACACAGAGATCACATTAACGTGATGCATCAAATGAACAAATCCACAAGGGCCGTGACGAGGATTCGAACCTGCGTCCGGGAGCATCCCAGACACTGCCTTAATCGACTGAGCTACGACAGGGTTAAAAAGAGTTGAAACCGAAGTTCTACTGAACTTACTGGATCCCGTAGCTTCTCCGAGGCACAAACCAGGATTTTACACAACTCCCCCCCTGCACCCGAGCTATGTCAATAGGCCGTTCTCCCTCTTCGCCCTTACATCGTGTGTTCGATTAAGGCAGTGTCTGGGATGCTCCCGGACGCAGGTTCGAATCTTCGTCACGGCCCTTGTGGATTTGTACATTAAGAGAATTTTTTACACCGGTCAATACTGAACGATAAATAAATATTGAGGTGATCGCGACTTAGGGCGGCCTGAAACCTTCCCCACCCCGGAACTTTCTCTTCTTAATGTGAGGGTTGGAACCACCCACGGTATTGTCTCGTGTTATAAAGTTTAAATACAATATTTTATTTATTTTGTAGCTTTTAATAATAATAAAATAAGATCGCTAGCGACTAGTTTACTCAAGAATGGGGAAAACAGTTTTGCCAGACTATAGGAACCAAAATTTTATCGATGTTTTTATTTTCTGTTTTACCTATATTATAATTTTTAGGAATAACGGTACTTTTGGTGCTATTTTGGAAAATACAGGAAAATATTGATACATACTAAAACCAATTCAACAAGGTCTAGTATAGTAAGGGTTATTGCAATTATTACTATGACAAGTTAAACAAATGCACACGTGTATATGTAAAATTTATGCAAATAAATTACACCAAGTTTTTCATACTCTCCTGAGTGCTTTGTCAAAGTCTAAGTGTGTGGTTAGGACATATACGTCAAACAAAATACTCAGACATTGACAAAGCACTCAGAAGTACTTTGACCCTAAACACCCATGTGATCAATCGACTTGAGAATGGTCCAGGACGGACCGTAACGTCGTCGTCCCTTCACCTTCTAGTGTGTGGTCTGGTCAACATACTTTAGCCACGTTATTGTGACTCATCGCCTGCACCCATGTGAGTATTTACTATTTGAATCTGCAGAATCAACCTACTAGCTCTTAGACCCCGCCTTTCTAACCAATTTATTTTTCCTCTATTATGTTTACTATATATATTTCTCTCCAACACTAACACACATCCCCAGGAAACAGTCCGTTTCAGCTGTCTAACTCCCAGGTACCTATTTTCTGCTAGATGAACATTAGGGAGAAAGAAACTCTGCCCATTTGTTTCCGCCTCCATCATGGATTGAACCCGGGCCCTCAGGACTACTACTCCAGAGCGCTGTTCACTCAGCCGCGAGTCCCCAGGCTGTGTATTTACTATTTTGTGTCTGCAGAATTGAGCTATTCAGCTCTTAGATTTAGCTCTATTTAGCTCTTTCTAAGAGATATTTAGCTCTTAGAAAGGCGGGGTCTTAGACCCCCGCCTTTCTAGCCAATCTATTTTTCATCGATTATGTCTACTACATATATTTCTTTGTAACACGCGTGCACATACACACACACACACACACACACACACACACACACACACACACACACACACACACACACACACACACACACACACACACACACACACACACACACACACACACACACACACACGCACACGCACACACACACACACACACACACACACACACACACACACACACACACACACACACACACACACACACACACACACACACACACACACACACACACACACACACACACACACACACACACACACACACACACACACACACACACACACACACACACACACACACACACACACACACACACACACACACACACACACACACACACACACACACACACACACACACACACACACACACACACACACACACACACACACACACACACAATAGAAGTCTACGATCAGGTGACAAAAATTAAGCAAGAAAGAGAGGGCTGGGCGGACTGCATTTTCTTGGATTGTCGGAAAGCCTTTGACACAGTACTGCATAAGAGGCTGGTACATAAGCTGGAGAGACAGGCAGGTGTAGCTGATAAGGTGCTCCAGTGGATAAGGGAGTACCTAAGCAATAGGAAGCAGAGAGTTACGGTGAGGGGTGAGACCTCCGATTGGCGTGAAGTCACCAGTGGAGTCCCACAGGGCTCTGTACTCGGTCCTATCTTGTTTCTGATATATGTAAATGATCTCCCGGAGGGTATCGATTCATTTCTCTCAATGTTTGCGGACGATGCCAAAATTATGAGAAGGATTAAAACAGAAGAGGACTGTTTGAGGCTTCAAGAAGACCTAGACAAGCTGAAGGAAAGGTCGAACAAATGGTTGTTAGAGTTTAACCCAAGCAAATGTAATGTAATGAAGATAGGTGTAGGGAGCAGGAGGCCAGATACAAGGTATCATCTGAGAGAGGCAATTCTTCAGGAGTCAGAAAAAGAAAAAGACTTGGGGGGTTGATATCACGCCAGACCTGTCTCCTGCAGCACATATCAAGAGGATAACATCAGCGGCATATGCCAGGCTGGCCAACATACGAACGGCATTCAGAAACTTGTGTAAAGAATCATTCAGAACTTTGTATACTACATACGTCAGGCCAATCCTGGAGTATGCAGCCTCAGCATGGAGTCCATATCTAGTCAAGGATATGGTAGTCTCTGTTAAGGATATGGTAGTCTCTGTAGTCTCTGTTTAACGCAACAGTAAAATGTGTACTTGGATGAAAAACGATTCTTCGCGGCGGGGATCGTATTCCAGGGACCTGCCCGAAACGCTACGCGTACTAGTGGCTGTACAAGAATGTAACAACTCTTGTATATATCTCAAAAAAAAAAAAAAAAAGGATAAGACTAAACTGGAAAAGGTTCAAAGGTTTGCCATCAGACTAGTACCCGAGCTGAGAGGTATGAGCTACGAGGAGAGACTACGGGAATTAAACCTCACTTCGCTGGAAGACAGAAAAGTTAGGGGGGACATGATCACCATATTCAAGATTCTGAAGGGAATTGATAGGGTTGATAGAGACAGGCTATTTAACACAAGGAGCACACGCACAAGGGGACACGGGTGGAAACTGAGTGCCCAAATGAGCCACAGAGATATTAGAAAGAACTTTCTTAGTGTCAGAGTGGTTGACAAATGGAATGCATTAGGAAGTGATGTGGTGGAGGCTGACTCCATACACAGTTTCAAGTGTAGATAAGATAGAGCCCAATAGGCTCAGGAATCTGTACACCTGTTGATTGACGATTGAGAGGCGGGACTAAAGAGCCAGAGCTCAACCCCCGCAAACACAACTAGGTGAGTACATACACACACACACACACACACACACACAGGAAGCAGCTCCGTAACAGCTGTCTAACTCTCAGGTACCTATTTACTGCTAGGTAACAGGGGCATCAGGGTGAACGAAACTCTGCCCATTGTTTCTCGCTGGCGCCGGGAATCGATCCCGGGCCACAGGATTACGTGTCCAGCGTGCTATTCACACCGCTACCGACGCGCGCGCGCGTGTGTGTGTGTGTGTGTGTGTGTGTACACACACACACGATCGCACATGTTATTGGAGTTGGTTTAATTAATTTATTATGAACCCTATTCTAATCCTTTGGGCAGTAGTGGAAAATATTAGTCACATAACAGCCTCAGGGACAGAGTCCTATAAACACAATTCTCGTAGAAAATTGTGTCAACAACTGATAGTAAAAAAAAATCCAGAAAAGTTTAATTTATCTATTGCGTTTATCATTGAATGAATAACGTTATGCTGTTATACAGCAGTTTTTAAAGTGCAGAAGCGTCATAATTTGAATGTTATTTGGTGATCAAGCAGGAGTTTTGGTAGATAGAATGTAATTTAGAAATGTTTTATTTTATAACGTCACCAGTAGAAGTGTGTAATGACCTTCACCGGGGGTCTGGAAACTGGATATATAAAGGCTGAACTAGGAGAGTGTTATTCAGTGTACCGCAGATACTCTCCACCTCCACATCATGGTAAGTTCTGCCTACGATATCCTCGCAATTGTTGGGATGCTGGCTCTGTGATCTGGCTTATAATCATGCGGTAGATTTTCAGTTTGTTAATGTTCCGATTTCTCTCTCTGGTTCGCAGAAGTCGATGCTTGCACTAGTGGTCTTGGCCGTCGTGGCTACCCTTTGCCAGGCCGGTGGATACGGCTACGGAGGTGGATACGGCTACGGAGGGGGACACGGAGGTGGATACGGCTACGGAGGTGGACACGGAGGCTATGGTGTTGGTGGAGTGTCTAACAACAACTTCCACCTCGCTGGTCCCAGAGGCTACGGATATGGACACGGTGGCGGACATGGCGGCTATGGCTATGGAGGATACGGTGGTGGTCATGGCGGCTTCGGCTTTGGTGGCGGCTTCGGCGGCCATGGTGGTGGATACGGATACGGCAAGTAAACGACTTAATACAAGGACATATCAAAACTTAAACAAAGATTTACCTGACTATATAATTTAAGAATCCCAACGATGCTCTCAACACTCATGACCAGTGGTGAGAGTGTACACTTATGTAAGTAAAATTTTTATAAAATTTTTGAGTTTGTTTTACCGTATAAAGAAAAGTTTCTACAACCCTGAGAGATAAACACTATGGCATCTCAGGCATGCAGTTCCTGGATGTGGATAATTTGCAAATATATATGAAAAAGACGATAAAGATGATAAATTACTCATTGAGATGATTACCAGTTAAAATTCAGTATGGATATGTAACTCTCCAGTACCTAAGCCAGGATCAATTTCTTCGTTGCACAAAATAACAATAAAAAACTTTTAAAGCTTACAGATTTTAAAGATCCTGATTTCCTTGATATCAAAATCTAGAATAAATATTCACCAGCATTTTTACCTTTCACATTAGGTTTCTAATTGTTGGGATAAAACCTGTAAGGTTTATGAAGGTTCCAAGAAAAATGATCATAAAACAACTTGGGTGACAATTATGTGGTTGTGATTGTTAAGCATTGCAACACCAGAGATCCAGCTGGTAGCTGCATAAAGCAGCGGTTTTGTGTTTTACATACCTGAATTCAGTGACCGAATATCCATATAAATTATACATTACTCGCTAAATAATGGGTTTTAAATTTCTTGGGTGTAATACACACACACATGAAGTCCGACACGAACTGCCTAACATTTTTCCATTCATTTAATATAATTTCATTTGTGCAACAAATAGCGTTGGCATAATTACATGACATTAAGGAATGAAGGTTCATTTTATCCTGGAGGCTGCGTCTGATAACGTCATTAAATTCGTTGCTTCATATGTGTTGTACACTGATGTGTACAATTCAGGCATTGGAGTACATATTCATTGGCTTCTGCCTCGATTTGAATATACTTTATACATTGCGGAACTCGGGCAGCGAGGCGGAGTGTCACTGCGATACGAAGGTAAAAAGGTTCGCGGCGTGTGCCTGTTGCGAAGATAGAAATCTCCATAGAAATTCTCTGCATGGATGGACAAACAGCTATGAGACTTTAAGCATTGATGCAGCCTCTTTTTGTGCAATAGTGCTATTACAAGTGTCTGTCTTTTTAACTTTTTGTAAGGTTGGTCTGGCAAATGGGACTAATTGAGTCCCATGTTACCAATGATAATGCATTAGGTGAGGTTTTAGTTACGAACTAAAATTAAACTCTCAAGGGCTTTCAGCAGGATTTCCTTGACTAGATCATCAAGTGTGGTAGAGGAGGGTAAGAATTTGCGAAGCTGTATGGAACTGTGAGTTCCGAAGACACCAAGTCTGATGTGGAGAAAGGTTTGTTTCAACAATGAGCCATGAAGAGGAAAGATGAGGGCTTTAAGTATAGAAGAACTTAACAGGCTGACGTACTTACTCAAATTAGCGCTGCAGCTGATAGGAGAAACCCTCAAGAAATAAATTAGCAAGGGGGAAGAGTAGGCACCCAGTGAGAAGGTAAAATGTACTGCGAAGATTGATGTCATCTATCATCTGAGGCCAATGATTTTCTTACAAAGGGTTTTGCCGACAGCATCCTTTCCTTGAGGTGCTGGAAGGAGGGTGCTGGCCTCAGCACTGATTGTGTGGACAACGGCATGGCAGCTTTCCCATACTTTATGATTCCTACGTTGTAGATGAGTATTCCGCATGTGGAAGGGGTTCATGGTGAGGCCAAAGTGTTCTTCTGCATCCTGAATTTTTCTAATGCTCTCCATACAGAAAATTTAAGAACCGGCAAGAAAACAATTATCTCAAAATCGGGTAATGAGCTCGCTGAACAAGATTTGGGTAACCTTGAAGGACCAAGCGGAAGAGTAGAGTTGCGTGAGGTCACCTTCACATTACTACATTTCATATTCACTACATAGTATCCTTGTTGCACCGCTGTAGCCTGATTGAATGCAAGGACTTAGAGAGATGTACTTTAATGGAGTCTGTTTTTCCCTACTTATTTTACGATACAATAAAACTTTTTAATATCTCCACAGCACATCTTTCTGAAGCTTCCATTCAGTCTTGCTTGTTCCATTTGTATTATTTCCAAACGTTTTCTTTTTTCCAATCTGTCAATCCCCTTAAGTATTTTATACGCCTCTATCATGTATTTTCTCTCTCTCTCTCTCTCTCTTTCCTCGTTTATAATGACGTCAGGTCTAGTTCTTTCAATATTTCTTTATTTCTCATCCCTTACTGTTCTGGTACAAACCTCGTCAAAACTTCTGAATCATTGCCAGTTTCCTAAATTTTTTAATGGTGGCCCCATAATAGGGTGGGATATTCAAATACTGGTCCAAGGAAAGTGATGTACAGATATCTAAGTGCTTCGATATTTAGGTTTCTGAAGGATTTTCTAACTTTTGCTAGTGTAAAATACTCTGCTGATGTGGTCCTATTTATATGAGCCTCCGTAGTGGGATAAAGTATTTTCATGCCCTGGTCTTTTTTTTCGTTAAAAGGATGTAGTTTCTTTTCATTTTGTACTATCCTTTCGGTCTCCTGTTATCTGTTCCTATTTCTATCACCTTGCACTTGCTGGTGTTGAAATCCAAAGTCCATTCTCGGACCAACTCATCAGCTTCTTTAAGTTATCTTGGAGAATCTTATAATCCTCATCCATCTAAAGTATTCTCATTAATTTTGAACTGTCTTGAAACGTCGACATATAAGAATCAATTCCTGTGGCTACGTCATTTTCATTATGAAAAATAGTATGGGTCCCTAAGAAAGTGAGATTTGTCGCGCCTCGATGTCTCCCTAACTCCTGTCTATTAGGTATTCCCTTTCCCATATCAGTGCTCAACCACTTACTCCCAAATCCAACTCAAGTTTGTGTAGTATATACTCTGTATATAATCAGTATATAATCAGTATATACTCTTATGCGGTATATACTAATTCAAAGCCTTTTTGTTAGTCCATATATATATTTTTTTAAGTTATGATTCAACTTCAGTAGGTTTATTAGGCATGATTTCCCTTCCCTGAAGCCTTGTTAAGGATTGTTTACATACCTAATTCTCTCTAGGTGTATAACTGGTCTTAGAAGCCGGATTATCGAAAAAATAATTCAAATTAAAAGTTGAAATATGTATTAAAATTAAAATAACAAATAACCGTATATATTGAATAGTTTTTAATCAATATCAAGCTCATATGATAGCGAAGTGCAATAAATGTAAAATCATTTAATATTTATAATTCATTTTATTTTTTGAAGTTATAATTTTTTGACAAATAAGTTTTAGTTTTCATTGCCTATTTATCTAACGTAGATAAAACTTCTATCAGGAGGAGATAATACCATTCACAATTTGCCAAAAAAGAATAATTTAAATTTAACAACATCCCATATTCGATAAAACGGGCAATTAATCTTATTATTCTTTCGAGTACTTTGCAGGGAATGTATGTTAGTGCTTTATCAACCAAAATCTTTTATCTTTATCAACCAAACTCTTCTGTCTTCTAGTGCCTAATATTAATTTCAATAATCTTTCCTCGTAACTCATACCTCTCAGTTTGGGGAATAGTCTGATGGCAAGTTACTGAACTTTTCTAATTTCATCTTGTGCTTGACTAGATATTTATTTCATCTTGTGCTTGACTAGATATTTATTTCATCTTGTGCTTGACTAGATATTTATTTCATCTTGTGCTTGACTAGATATTTATTTCATCTTGTGCTTGACTAGATATTTATTTCATCTTGTGCTTGACTAGATATTTATTTCATCTTGTGCTTGACTAGATATTTATTTCATCTTGTGCTTGACTAGATATTTCTTTTATCACATTTCTAACCAATTTTTCTTCTATTATGTCTACTACATATATTTCTCTCTAACACACGCACACACACATATCCTCAGGAAGCAGCCCATAGCAGCTGTCTAACTGAAAGATATCTATTTACTGCTAGGTGAACAGTTACATCAGGGAGAAAGAAACTCTGCCCATTTGTTTCCGCCTCGGCCGGGAATCTAACCCGGGACATTAGGACTACGACCCTGGAGCGTTATCCACTCAGCCGCGACCCCCCCCCCCCCTCTGTGTGTGCGTGTGTGTGTGTGTGTATTCACCTAGTTGTGCTTGCGGGAGTTGAGCTCTGATCTTTCGGCCCGCCTCTCAACTGTCAGCCGATCAACTTTTTTTCACACACACACCCTCAGGAAGCAGCCTGTAACAGCTGTCTAACTCGCAGGTACCTATTTACTGCTAGGTAACAGGGGCATCAGGGTGAAAGAAACTATGGCCATTTGTTTTCCGCCATCAATGGGGTTTGAACCCTGATCTTAGGATTATGAGATCCAAGCACTGTCCATTCAGCCACTTTCCCTCCTATATGTGCTATATGTGTGTGTGTGTGTGTGTGTGTGTGTGTGTGTGTGTGTGTGTGTGTGTGTGTGTGTGTGTGTGTGTGTGTGTGTGTGTGTGTGTGTGTGTGTGCGTGCGTGCGTGCGTGTGTGTGTGTGTGTGTGTGTGTGTGTGCGTGCGTGCGTGCGTGTGTGTGTGTGTGTGTGTGTGTGTGTGTGTGTGTGTGTGTGTGTGTGTGTGTGTGTGTGTGTGTGTGTGTGTGTGTGTGTGTGTGTGTGTGTGTGTGTGTGTGTGTGTGTGTGTGTGTGTGTGTGTGTGTGTGTGTGTGTGTGTGTGTGTGTGTGTGTGTGTGTGTGTGTGTGTGTGTGTGTGTGTGTGTGTGTGTGTCTGCACAAATCAATCGTGCGTGATACTAGTACCCAAAACAATGGAAAATAAAGTTCTCGTGCAGTTCACAGTATCACCAACCGATATATAATAACAAATACAATTGTTACATAAATAAAGCCTTTCTTGTCAGTCTTACCATTACTTGTTTTTATATTTTAAAACTTTATAGTAGTTTTAATTACATATTACCGATCAATACAACTAATTGTTGATAGCACTTTAAAAATTATTTGAAAATCTGTTATACGTTTTATTGCTCTACTAATTTTTTTT